TTAAGTCAACTTATTACGTAAACAAAAAATATTAAAAATGGAAATAACGCCTTTTTAGAGGCCTAAACGATGGAATTTGCCTGAAAAATCTCACACGACGTGGCAAAGCAATAAGTCTTGTCTGTTAGGTTGTTACCACTCAGAAAACACATATTTTCGTCCAAATATGAAATTGCCATGACCTCCTAAAAACTGAAAAAATTACCTTATTTGGCTTTGGGATGTTCCCAATGGGCCATAAAAGGTTAGATCCTTCTGCACCGCATCAGTAAGTATTTTTGTTGTTAGATTTTGTAGAGAAACTAATTAGTTTTGGGATTTTGAAATATTGTGATACATATATGAGAGAAGGAGAATTTCTAAAATGTTTCTTTAAAAGTTGTTTGCTTGGGTTGTTTAAAGAAATCGTTGTTTGAGCAAAGAACTACGTTTCAACCAAAATATATGTATATTTTTAAAAAAAATTTCAAAGACTTTTAATGACGGTTGAAAAAATTGTCGTCTAATGTACATTAGAGGAAGGTTTTTGTAAAATAAAAAATAAAAAATAAAAATAAAAAAATAAAAAAGGTCCTTTAATATGTCTCATGTACGTGTATTAGACGACGGTAAAACACTGTCGTCGTATGTCGTGGGCATTTTATGACTCTGAATATGATGACGATTTGCCGAATTGTCATTGTACTAGTGATTGTTATTCTCAATATTATTTTTTTTTAAGGAAAATAATAACAATTGAGAAACTAATGCCAAGGGAATTAATTATCAAAAAAAAAAAGCCAAGGGAGTCTAGGTATGCATCATTAATAGGAGACGTTTGGTTCATAGATTAGAATCATGAGATTATAACCATTTTCGATTTACGTGTGTTTTTTGTGAAAGAAAATATTATAGTGAACAATGAACTATGATTCGAATCAGAGAACGAATCTTCCAACTAAACGGGCTCTTATAGTCACCATGTATTTAGAACGCAGATAAATTCTCGTCCTTGTTTTAGTCCATGGTATAAGTACATTGTTCAATCACGTTAATTTTTTATTTCCTCGTATTCTCGTCTTAAAAGTGTCTACCACATATATTGCATTCAAAGCTAATTAGAAGCTTAGAGAGAAAAAGAAAACGTACTTATTTAAAGTCTAGTGCAAGTATATATGCAAGCAATAGAAAAGGTACACAATTAGGATCCGACCCGTTTAATTCGCTGATTCGAGTTGAAATGTGACTTTATGTGAAAGCTTTTGACTGTAATAAAAAAGTTAGATGTGACTATTTCTGAGAACTTTTTACTGTAGTAAAACTTGAATTGGTGAAATAAACGGGGCCTTATATACAATTAACTAGTTCTGTATGTTGTAAGGAGAAACATCAAGTGTACTTTAGACATTATTCAAATTATGTAGTTAGACTCTTAGATACAAAGAAATACACGTTGATGATTGGAATTCTAATTTTTGTCCCAACTTTTTAATACTAAAAGACTGTAGGTTTTCAAAATGTTTTCGAGTGCGGAAGCGTGTACGTACAGATTGTGTATAAAAAAAATTTTATAAAACATTTTATAGATTATATTAATTTGTGCAATAATAAATTAATCATATTAATTTATAAAGATAGATACCTAGCGAACGATTAGGCGGATAACTTGATGTTTTTGACCACGAACAATCTAAGCTCCAAGCTTTCTAAAAAAACCCGAATCTTTCTCGTCTAGTCTTTGAAATATGCAAAACCTAAAGTGTGGGCTCTAATATAGAACTATCGAATTTGATCACTCGCTATTTTGTATTCATTCACTATTAACACTTGTATGTGAAGAAACTGCAAATTTAAAGAACTTTTCTTCTATTTTTCTCTCTCTAGAAACCGGCCACCTATGGAAAATAGAGCGCAAAAAAATTCTCTACTCCATTTTTCTATTGTCTACTATTTATAGAACACTAGAAGAACCCATTTGCTTTAACTTGAAGACAAAGCAACATAAAATTGGTTATTATTATATTTTAAATCTCATTAAAATATATTTTCTCATTTTAATTTTAGAAACAAATTTCTCCCTTCCTTTTATTTACATGGCCGGCCACACCACATGGAGACCTCCCTGTGGTTGGCGCAAATCTGTAGGTAGAAGAGAGAGAAAATTCCTCCTTTATCGAGTTTCCAATTTTAACTTAAATTCAAATCTAAATAAAGTCACATTTTACTTCCTTTTTGAATTTGATTGAAAAACTTGTCAAACAAGTAAACTAGATATCTTGGAGAGTAAGCAACTGAATCCCAATGGGATTCTACATGTGTCACACACCTCCTATACCTCTTTGTGTTGAACGTGTAACCTTCTGTGGTCCCACCACAGTGTGATCTAAAATTAATTAAATTAAATAATAATATTATTTATTTCGAGTGATATTAAATCCCGATAATTCATATTGTCTCGTAAATATTATGAGAATGACACGGGGACTCATGAACCTATAATTTTGAGCTCTAATAAAATCAATAATTAATTAAACTCTTTAATTAATTACTTAATTCTATTAATTCTAAAAGTTACTCCACTAAAAACTTAGAATTGCACTCTCAAAATTATAGACATAAATTACTTCTAAATTGTGAAGTGTCCATTTGATATAGTCATTACATATAAATCAATCCTCCATAAATAATTCATAATTAGAAATAGGTGAAATCCGTTAACCTCTCTAATTACATCTTTATCCTTAAGTATCATTGATTCTCTAATGAATAGTATATTCATAAAACACATTTATGAATACGAGCTCGTTACATCTCGTATATTAGCATTCCCAGCTATTCATTTTATCATGTTTCTAAGATACAAGGAATTTGATTTAAGATCTCAAAATCCGTACTAAGTAAGTAAAAAAACACGAATCCACAAATATGAGTCTACTGATAACTCTGGATTAAGATCGTTCTTTATATGACTATTGGTAAACTCAAATTTGATTTTTTATACTTAACGAAAATTATTAGAAAATTAAATTATGTATGTGTCCCAGTTCTACATAATCTTATCATGCATAATACACTCATTCAATATCTATATATTAATGATGCGGATAACACCATTTCATTCTTAATGAGAATGACATGTATTAGTAATGTTTTAATTAAAAATTTCGTAACTTTAATTAAATTCATTACGAACATTGTTTCGATTATTATTCTTAAATATTATCTTCTCGTATATAACACTTATATACAATATTTAAAGTCACATAAATAATCGTAGAATTTTTAATGATATTCATAAAGTATTCAATAATACATGCATATAAATAATGAATAAACTATTTTATTAATTAAATAATAAATATCTTTATTACATCTCCTATTTTAAGAATATTGTTAGACACCGTATTATCATTCTATTATTAGAAACAATTCAAAAAATTTTCATGTTTAATAATATTAACAAATAACATCAAATAAACAAAATGGCAACTATAAATAGGTTGAAATTGAAAAAATTCACTATCTTTCTAGTTTGTACTATTTATTATTATTATTATTATTTTGGTGTCTTTAAGGTTAGCTGTTTACATTAATAAATCGTCTGAATTCTGAACTGATATAGCTCAACGGAGTAAAAGAAATTTCTGAACTTCCATATCCTGCTCTGCAAAAAGAAAAACCCTACTGACTTTATCTTTCTTATCTTATCCAGCGTCTTCATATATCAGGACATATCAGACGCGTAAGAAAATGCGAACAAATTTGTCTTCTTTTCAAGATATACTATACTCATTTCCAACGCAACCCAGTATTTTAACACTAAAAAACTAATTTTATGGTTGAAAAGTAGCCGTCTTAAAAGTCACTAGTGACATGGGTAACCCATTTGGATATATATATATATGTGTGTGTGTGTGTGTGTGTGTAGAGAGAGAGAGAGAGAGAGAGAGAGAGATAACCCAATTGGACAATGCTTATTTTCCTTCTCTTGTCTCTTCACAAACTCACAAGCCAATAACCTCAATTTACTCATGTCTGATGTGATCTTCGTTATCACTACGCTTAGTGACTTCGGTTGAGAATATGACAAATGTGAGTTATGAATTGGACAACTTTAATCAACAAGAATATTTTAAAGCATTTTTCAACCATTACAAAAAAAAAAAAAAAAAAAAAAAAAAAAAAAAAAAAAAAAAAAGAAAGAAAGAAAGATAGAAAGAAAAGAATGTGCAAGATTTTTTTTTTATAGGAAAAAAAAAAGTAAAAGATCTTATACATTGGATATTTGGATTATGCTTCTTTTCCTTATCTAAAAAGAACCCAACACTAAGTTATCCATGTATGTTGTCTCCACTATTGCCGTTGTCTTAATTAGTAGCTTTCTGTTTGAGGATGACAAATAGTTACACATATATACATATATACATATACAGGTGTTTAATGATTACATTTTTTTAGTAATTATTTATTAAATATAGAAATTAAATGATATTATGTGATAAAAATTTAATATGGCTAGTTATTATTAATTTTTTTGTCAATTATTTAATTTATATAATAAAAATAATAATACTCATAAATAAATAACTATTAGAGTAATTATTAAAAGAACTAAAAAGATCTAGCAAATACATTGGATTATTTATGCTTTCTTTTTCTCATCTCAAGACATACCCCACACACCAATAATCTGAACTCATCCATGTCTATATTTTATTATTGCTTTAGAGGCTTTGAATTAGAGAATGGCAAGTGTTAAATATGCTATTATTAGAGAACTTGAACCAATTCAACGAATGAAAAACGTTGTAGATTCTGAATTCTCATAGTTCATAATAAATTAGATGGACTTTTTAAGATAGATATTCTACTAATAGAGTCAGTTATTAATCATTATATATAATTAAAATTATATTAAATTAAAAAAATATGTAAAATATATAATTTTTAATAGAGATATATAATGACTGAAAAATAAAAAATTATCATATTTCAATTTTTTTTATTATTTTACCAGAAAAAACTCTCTAAATTACAACTTGAGTTTTGCTTTTCTTTCTCTCGTAAGTATATAATTGTACAAAAAGAAAAACAAGAAAATCAACAAAATTATTACCAATAGGTAATTCCCTTCACTCCTTGGAAAATCCCCACAGAGAGGAGGGAAAACGCAAATGCCCCAAAGAAAAACGCAAAAACAATGTCCAAAGCCCCTTCCGTTCTCAGTCTCCTTTCCTTCCTCTCCCTTTTCCTCTCCAAATACTCCTGGCATCTTTTCCGTCCTTCCTCTTCCCTCATTTTCCCTCCTTTTCCCCTTTTGCCCTCCAACGCCCTCTGCAAAATTACCAAACTCTCCCTCCCTTTGAGGTGCGTCCCATCCATGTCCTCCACCACCAGACAGACCTCCCTCACCTGCAAAAACTCCTCCCCACCGCCCCCACAGTGGGACCAACCGCCGCACGTGAGCTGGACCCCACACTGCGTGAACTCCGAGGAAGATCCGAGAAGCACCGCAGAAAACCGCACGTGCACCTCGCCGCTCAGCCAGTGGCGCTGCGCCTCCACCGGCCTGTGGCTTGACAGGTTCATCGACCGCCGTCCAATCGGGTCGATCACGATCCAGCTCAAGGTCAGCCCCTCCGCGAGATCGCGACACGTGTCGTCCCCTCTCGGGTACGGTATCTCGGTTGGGACCACGTCCTTGGGGTGGAGAAGGTCGACTCGGAAAGGCGAGCATCGGAACCATCCAGAAGAAGTCTCCGTCTCTACGACCTTACTGAGAATAAGCTTCCCTCGGTAATGAACGTCAACGGCCGAGATTAATTCCGGCGTACGGTCGAGATTGATCGCCTGATTACTGTGATCATCATGGTTGATCGGGAGAGGGAAGGAGTCGGAGAAGAAAGAGCGGTGGCCGCCGGGGAAAGAGGAGATTACTTGGCTGACACGTGGCGAGGCGGTGGAGGGCCACGTGGAACGGCAAATGTTTTCCCAGAGGCTCGGTTCCCGAGAGAGGGAGTGGAGCTGGGAGGAGGTGGCGGCGGCGGAGGCCAGCGTCGGACCATCAAGGCGGGTGAGGATGTGGGCCCCGATAACGTCGGGGTGGACGGCGGAGATCGTCGCGGCGCAGCTGTGATCGACGGTGGACGAAGGAGAAGTCATACCGTCCGTACAGTAACTGTACAATTTTTGCAAGTTTGGAATTGGACGATGGACTCGGAGGGATTAGTCTTACGCGGGAGTTTATAATTATATAGGTATAACGGGACAGGGAGGGACTAAATTACCCTTACTGTTTTTTTATAATAACGAAATGCCACTACTCGGTGTTTCTGTTTCTCATTGATGGAACGGAGATGTTGACTTGAAAGTGATAATTAAATTAGTCGGTTTGACTTGTAATCCAAATTACAGTTCGATAATCCTCCATTTGACAGTAAAACAAACACGTTAATCTCTTTGTCAATTAGTATAATGAGTAAGGCACCTTCACATATATATGCAGAACTCACTTATTGATCATCTAGCTAATCAAATAAGTCAAGGATATATTGTTGCTGCATTAGTTTACAGGATAGATTTATATAATAATTTTCAAATGTTACGTCATGGTAGACTTCAAATGTAGTGGGGGGTCGACGGCAAATATTGATATGGAAATAACGTAATGGTTGGATTGCTTTTACTAATTATTCAATATTTAATTTGATTAGTTTTACTCGGTTCGATGATTTTTATGTACCTTGTAATCAGATCAGTTCTAAAAGGTGAATATATATATATATATACATATACATGTACACATATACATATACATATAGATAACGCTGATTCTTCATAATTTTTATTCGGTACATATATAGGCCTCGTTCACTTCGCGGATTCGAGTTTTCGATTCGAGCTGAGATGTGACATTTTTTGAGAGCTTTTTACTGTAGCAGAAAATTTTGATGTGACATTTTCTGAGAGTTTTTTACTGTAGAAACCTAAAACTAAAAACTCGAATCGGTGAAGTGAACGAGGCCATTGTATACTTCTATGTGATAAGACTGTTTAACCATACCTTGTTCTCTACTGATTTAAATAACTTGCAAGTTACATCATCTAATTCATAGATAATCTACATTGTTTAATTGGTTATAGAACTAAAAGAATATATTATGCTGTGGGAAATTGGCTATTCAAAGTTCAAATTCAATGCCATGATCTAATTAATATATGCTTAATAGAATTAATACTATGAAGATATTAATTAAGGGAATGTCATTTTCAGTAGGCAAATCAGTGTTCAGCAATATTGTCTCTCATGAAATGGACACTTTCACGAAGCATTTTTTCTAGCGCTTTCGTTGAATATTTAATTTCATCTGTAACTAGTGATATTATTATAAACTGAAGGATAAATTCATATGTATATTTTTTGTGATTTTTATTTTATATAACGTCCACCCTTGATCTTTTTCTTCGTATAAATTTCAAACAGGATAAAAAGTTTATAATAAATACATACTTCAGTTAATTATTAATTAAAAAATAAAAGTTTAAGTATTAAAAGCCAGCACAAAAAAGTTCATTCTCTGCAAGGATCGATATAAATAATGATGTATAATTCTAATTGAGAAGAAAGCTGGTATCAATTAATAAACATGAATATTACTCAGCTAAATATAGATGTGCATGGTTATTAATTGTCACCGATTAATATTTAAGGGGATATGTAAAGTGACTGACTGTGATTCATCAAGCTCAAGGTTATAATAAAATGAGGTCGTCTCTTCCACATTTGTTTCTTTTTCTTAATTAATTAGTTAATTAACATCATATCTATTGAATATATATATAGGTAAAGTCTCCGGTCCGGCACTGGACAATATTTTTTTTTCTTTAAAATATGTATATTTCTTCTTTAGAATGTGTATATTTTCTCTTAAAATATGTATATGTTGTATATTTTACCATAAAAGGAAATGCACATATTTTAAGAAGAAATATACACATTCTAAAGAAGAAATATATATAAAATACAATTCCTATATATATATATATATTATATGACATAGCACACAGGGTATATGATGTTTAGCTTTTTTCAAATGTTTGGATTTAGATTAGATTAGGACGATTGACGTGTGGAATAAGGTAGTTTAACCAACCAAAAAAAGGAACATGACAATACAACACCGACTTTGACATAATTATTGGATAATACAGAAATTGAGATGCCTTATAACTAGGCTATTATAGCATGATCACCAAATTAGTTGCATATAAAGTAGCTTTTGGAACCATTTTATGGCACACTAGTCTAAATAATTGCAACCAAAAATAGCAAAATCAAATAGTGATATAATTAATTAATTACTTTCATTTAGTGGAGAATGCGATGGATTAATTGTATTGCAGTACATTAGTAACCATATATCTTGTAAGTAATTAAATAAGACCTTATTTAATTCTTTACCGTGTGAAATGGATCGTGATTATTTGCAACGTTCAAAGAGGTCAATCAAAGAGTTCTTTACCATAAAAATAAGGTGCTTGTTTAGTTAATAACCTAATACACAATTCCCCTTGTTTAAAGTCCTTTATGTCTACTTAATGGCATGGGGAGAGAACTGAGGAGGATTTTGAGTGAGTTTTGTGAGTTCAATTACTATTTATACTCTTTATCTCTTATTTATACGGCGTATTATTATAACATATGTGCTTTCCTTTTTAATAAAAATAAAACCTAATAATTGACCTTATGTGTTCCGCTTACAATTTACATGTGTGTATATATGTATGTATATATATATATATGGTTGTGATTTTAATGGTTAATATTTATTTATAATATTATTATTTTAACCGTAAAATATTAATTTAACGGTCATCATAAATTATATAGTTGACATAAAAATTTATAATAATCAATAAAATTGAATTCTTATTATGCCACGTCATTATATTTTTATATTTAATAATAACCGCTAATTAAAACGGTAACTATTACAAACTCATCCATATATGTATATATACATATTTATAACAAAAAAACGGGTCAACTGATCATTTCCTTAAAACAAAAGTCAACTTATGAATGTATTGCATATGTATTACCCACCACGCTATTTGCAGTGTGTATAGGTATATGTATATATGTATGTATACACATATATATGTAGAAAAGATCCCCATTTTTTTATATATGTAGAGACGATTCCTATTACTTTATAAACTTTTTTGATTGCACAAACGACAAACATATTTATAGACGACCACGAACAGGAAAAACTATCTTCTTTATTTAGTTTAAACTTAAAGTATACCCAATCCCATTACTCTCATATATATATATATATATATATATATATCAATGTCAAACCACTATAAAATGCACCTTGTTGAAAATCATTATTGCAATATCCAAAGTTGTCATGACTAAAGAATGCTCGTGAAGTTTTTCGAAAGATGCTTCAAGAGTATCCGTGTATTTTTTTTTTCAAAAATTAATTAATCTATTTCCGTATTTCTTCACATTTAATCATTAAGGGAGTCTAATTCTTTTTCGGTTTGTTTTCAAATTTCAAATAGCTAATATTAATTCAAGACGTAAATATATATTTAAAGGACCATGTACTAGAGACTAGTGGCTACCCATTTCTTATTTTTAAAATATAAGGATTCATATAACAGAAACACAGCTTGTTCCTCTTGTGGGAATTAATTAATATTTTTTAGGGATTTATTTTTTTGCCCTTATAAGTAATTGAAATCTCTACATGCTTTATTTTTAGCTTAAAAACAAGGTAAACGCATGAGATCATGTAAAAAGTTGTAATACAATCTGTAAATATCTAGGTTAGGAGAGCCTAGAATTTTTTAATTTTCTTTTTTGGCCCTTAGGCCTTAATAATTAGGGATCTCTGTGTTATGTTTATGCTTTAAAATAAGTAGGAAACAATTTTCTTTTTTTATTATCGGTGAATAAAACTTCATGAATTTAATTTTTATAAATATAGGAGATCCCTAGTAATTGCCAACCTAATTGAGATATGTGAGTTTTTTTTTTATTTTATTTTATTTTTTATACTCTTCCTTTTTTTAAGAAAAAGTATATAAATTTTTAATCTCATTTCTTATTTGGATGAATTCCAATACACAAATCAAACAACAAAATTCCTAGCAATGGTACTATGGTAGTCTCCTGTTCACCTGCTGGGCATATATATGCCATATATATAACATCTGGGCACATTTAAGCCATATATATAACATCATAACAAATATCGCTCTCCCACTCCACTTGATCATAAATTAAAATCCTGTTCTTTTCGCTGATTCGAGTTTTGCTACAGTAAAAAGCTCTCAGAAACAGTCACATCTAACTTTTTTGCTACAGTAAAAAGCTCTCACACAATATCATATCTCAACTCAAACTTGATCATAAATCTTTAGTTTTAGTTAATTTTAATTTAAATTTTTGACATCGTGATCTCTCTTGCATGTTGTCTATGGTCGTTCTTAATTAATTTTAATTTTTTGATGATGATATTACCGCTAGCTGTTGCTGTTAGTAGTTCCTGCTTAGGTGCATAATTAATAATGGAAATTAGGTTTTTGGAAAGGACAATACGATCCGTGGATATATCCTACTAGAATCGACAATAATATGTACAAACCATATCTAATTTTCAAGCCAACAGAAAAGCATATTTAATTTATTGCATCCAATCAATTCACACAAAGTTCTAACGACGTCATTACAGTCGACACAGCAGCTAATAAATCCAATCCAACTAACTTTTTTTTTTTTTTTTGGGGGATAGAAAAGAATTCGACTTGTGATTTTTATAAGGAAAAAAACTAAAAATACCACTCAAGATGGTGAAAAAAATAATATTTATGTCATTTTGCTAAAAATAAACAGTTGTCATTTAATTAATAAAAGGAAAATAAAACCACAATGATATTTAGAATAACATAAACAATAAATATGAACAAAACTATAAAAAAACCATTTACTTTTCTTTTATATGCTAATGTACATACTATAAATGAGTAGATATATAACTAATCCATTGGACAGTCAAACTAGTTTTGCAAAAACTATTTTAAATTTATCGATAGTCACTGCATGTTAATATTTGCTTTCAAATTTCAATAACTGAAAAGAATGATGTACTAGCTAACTACCGAGGATGACATATAAATGTATTCAAAGCCACGTCAATATTTTCATTATATAGCCACTATGAAGGGTCAAAATTAATTATGCTAGATCTTTTTTTTTTTTTTTATAGAAAACAACATGCGAAGATTTTAGTCACAATAGAAAGGCGGGGTTGTTTTGTCTGATTAAGAACCATTTCTATTTTTAAT